CAGGGATGGAACCCACAACCTTGGCGTACGTATCAGGATGACGCTCTAACCAACTGAGCTACCCGGCCAGGGCTAGAAGCATTTAAGAACTGGTCCTTCGCCTGGACCTCGGGAGCCTGTGATCGAAACACATACATGCAGAGACTATAGCAAAGTTTCCTAGGTACTCGTGGACATTTCTTGGGGAATAAGTCTGAAGTTTTCATTAAAGTCTCCAATAGGTCCAGTGACTCCCAAAATATTAAGAAATATTGGTTTTTCTAAAGGTGATGGTTTTCTCTTTTATTTCATGGTTTCCTTCTGCCCACCCTTCAAATCCACAGTGTGACTGGGCAACGCTGCCACCAAGGATCCTTGTAAAGGAATAGCCATTATTAGTTCATTCCAAAAAGGCAGCAGAGAGAAGGGGCAGGTAATGGCACCTGCTTCCCAGTGAGGCTGGGAGACAAAATGAGTCAAATCAAGTAAAGCACACAACACAGTGCCTGGCAGCAGCCGGCTCTCAGCACAAATTACTTGCTATTGATGATGATGATAAACCATACACGTGTTGGTTGTGTGTAGCCTGTGGCAGAGTTGCCTAGAGACCAGTATTCTAAAAGAGGAAACCAGGGAGGAAAGAAGAAGCATTTAGCTGCTGAGCTTCAAGGCCCACGCAGGCTTCACCGCTGAGTGTCACCAGCAGCTTCTGGGGGAAAGGTCAAGGGACAGGCGTTTGTAGTTAGATGGGACTCACTCGAGAAAGCCCCTCACCTGCGACTCCTACTCTCCTCTGTGTCCCTGGCCCCAGGACACCTTATACATCTGAGTCTCAGGTGTGTCATTTGGAAAAAAGAAGGTATTACAGCCCGACCTCCTGAGGTTGTTGTGAGCACAGAAGGGAAGAAGACCTCCATATCTTCCCCGAATGAATTTGGGGAAGGGCAGAGGTAGTTGCCCAAAAAGAGCACTGGTTTGGGAGTCTGTCTAAAGATCCTTGGGTTTATGCTCTTCTGTGTCTGATTTTCTGTCCAATTGAGGGAATAGAAAATCTTGGAACCCATTCCCAGCTCTCACTTACTAGCTGAGTGACCTTAAGCAAGTCATTTGACCTTTGCAGGCTTCTGTTCCCTCATCTGTAAACGGGATTTGGATAGTACTTATCATTTTCAGGGGCTGCCATAACTGGGTGTGTCGCTCCTCTCTGAATGAATCTGTGCTTTCTTTCTGTTTATGGAAGAAATGACTATGGAGTCTGCCAAAGACTCCTCTAGGCACTGAGGATAGAACAGGGAATAAAACTAAGTCCCTACCCTCATGGACTTCACAATTCTTGTGTCTGTCATAAGTATAAACCATAAGCCAATGAGGGACCAACTGATTAAAGGGTTTATTTTGGTTTAATTCCCATTAGTTGCAATAACAGAACACCCCATCATATAGCCCTTCAAGTTTTCATATGCACTTATTTTCTGTTCCCAAGGGAATAGTTTCAGCTTTTTTATGTTTCACCTTGGTCAACATGGTAACATTCAATTTTAACAGTCTGCCTTTCTCCTGATATTTATAATACTTAATGGAACAAATAGAGAGACTGTCCAGAGAATGAGAGCAGACGATCTTGGAGGTTAGCAGGGTTTTTATGAGGGATTTGAATTCTCCTTGTAGATACAATACAGCCTCTCTTGGAAAGGACATTTAAACATCAGTGTACCTTTCATCATTTTATCTGTGTCTGATAACTATATCTGCTTTTTAATAAAAATATTTTTTCAGCCTTCAGGAGGCTGTGAATGAAAAAATACATGTCCAAACTGTATGTAAAATATCACATATGTACAATATGCCTGAGAGTAACAGACAGTTTCAGGCTTTAAATAAAGGCTCTTACTCTCCCAGAATCACCTATTGTTAGATGGGCCGGGTACGGAAACCTGCATATTGAGAATCACCAGGGCAGGAAGCCCCAAATGCCTAGGAAGGGGCGAAACAGGGAAACAAGAACTTTAGCCCCAGGGTAACCTCTCCTCCTCCAGCACACCACAGTCAGGCGGTAGTGAGACTCCCCTGAGTGGTTCCTCCCTAAAGATAACATCTGTGCCTCAGTTGTATTTCAGCTCCAGGCCCAGATAAGCATTGAAACCAGACAAGTGGCACCATGGCTGCCTCAGGCCCAGCTACATTGACGCCCCCTTGCCCTGGCACCCACCAGTCAGTGGAGACCAGGACCCTGAAAGAGCCCACCTGGAAAGCTGATGAATAGTTTATTGAGACCCTCCCCTGAGGCCTCCCCTAAGAGTTCCACCTGCAAGAGAAAGATAAATGCGCTCAGGACAAAGGACCCAGCGCTCAGGCTCCACCAGGGGAGCAGGCCAGTGCCATCTTCATTCCTCTGACAGGACGCCAGGAGACTTGCAGCCAGGGGAGCAATGGGCAGCAGCAGCTCCTCCCAGGGGGGCAACGGGCAGTGGCAGCTACTCCCGGCTCACCCCCTGAACCTCTCTCCAAGGCCCCCTCTCTCTGACCTCTCAGGGGGCCAGAGCAGCCCAGCCAGGCTCTCCTGCTGCCTCTTCTATGCTCTTCCTTGTGTCACTGTGCCAAGTATGTTTTTGCTGACATCATGGACCGGATACCCTTTGGCTCAGTGCTTTGTAGCCCTTCCCTTTGGATACTCCCCGCCCCTTTTAATAAATTTAATTTTTTCTTTATTCACCCTCTGAGCCGGCTCTCCAGCCTGCACCCCGCGCTAACCTTTCACCTGTAACTTCATTTCACAGGATTTGCTGTGAGCGCTTAGGTCGCAGCTGGCGCTCAACAAAGATGCATTCTTCTTTCAAAAGCAGATCCATGTTAACTGAATAATAGGCTCCATTCCTATGCAGCACTAACTGCGTTATAAAAGCGGCCCTTTCCCGCGAGGCGCTCGCCAATGCCCAGACCGGCTGGAGTGGGACCGGGACCCAGAGAAGGGTGCTCCCGAGTCTCCCCGCCCCGGAGGGTGGGCGAGCGACCCCGACGGCGCAGCAGGAACCCGCGCCCACGGGAGAGAGGAAGGGCTGGGCCCGGCGGGAGCGGGGACACACTGCGCACCCAACTTAGCCCGGGAGCACCGCCGGCGTCCCCGCAGCCGCGCCGCGGGGCCACGCCCAGCGCTCTGCGACGCTCTCCATGGCAACCACGACTGGGCCACCGCCCCGCCCCGCCCCGCTGCGTGGCGACGGGCGTGTTGCGTCACAGCGGCGCGCCGGAAGTTACTGCAGCAGTCGCCAGAGACTCC